GCATCCTATCAGTTATTTTAATGTTAAACCACTTAGTTATATTTTATTCAACAAAATCCTTAAAAGCATTAAAGAAAAACATTGGTTGCATGGTGCAGAGTCCTTCTGATATTACATATTGTCAACATTCAACAATCTTCATTCTCTAATGAATGCTGGTCATTGGATGTTGACAATATGTAATATCAGAAGGACTGATCTCTTTGACCTACAGGATTTATATAGCGCCAACAGTTTGCGCAGCGCTTTACAATATAGGGAAGACATTACAATCACAATACAACTCAAGACAAGATGGTAAGGAGGGCCCTATCACCTTTAATGAATCTATACACTCGAAATATAGACAGTAACCTTGTTTTCCATTATCCATATTTAATAATAAACTACATCCAATTATGAGCAGAGAAAGAACAGCAAAAAGGGTCCTAATACCCAAGGGAAAGTTCCCGAGGTCATTCCCCAAGTACCTCATCTACTACCCATGCTTCACAGGACAGACTCATCTGTAACCAAAAATTATGATATTCTTTTGCACAAGTTAGATCCCATTAATGTCCCAATTGTCATGCTCTGAGAAAAATACATTTATTTTAAATATGTAAACAACGTGGGGGTTCTCTAGGGGGGGTCGGGAGGTCTGCAAACGGGGACCAATCAAGCGTTCCATTTTAATATCAGTCATCCACAGTACCTTTAAACCTTTACAACAGAAAACAATAAAGTCAATCTGTCTTGCAGATTCCTATTTCTGATTTTTTTTATTGCAACCTATTTTTTAAACTCCCAAAAATGTAATTTGCTCTTAAGGCTGAACTCCAGGCACAAGAACTTTCATTTAAATATATTCCTCAATAGCCACAAATGATAAAAATCAACTTTGTGTGCACGGAATGCCTTTGCAAATTCAAGTAGCAGTGACATAATTACTTTGCTGTATGTAGGGAGCTGAGCTGTGGGAGGTACCTAGCAGGCCACACCCACTACAAGACAGTACGGGGGGTGGAGACAAGACCGGTCACCCTGCACAAGGAAAAAAAGCAGCAGTGACCATTCTATATTACAGGAAACTCCAAGTTTCTGGGTAGCGCTTCTGCCTTGCAGCACTGAGAGTCCCCTGGTCAAGGACACTACGGTATATGCAAGGAGTTTGCATGTTCTCCCGGTGCTTGTGTGGGTTTCCTCTGGGTACTCCGGTTTCCTCTCACACTCCAAAGACATACTGGAAGGTTAATTGGCTCCTGTCTAAATCTGCCCTCCTATGTATGTATGTGAGATAGGGACCTTAGATTATAAGCTCCTTGAGGGCAGGGACTGATGTGAATGGGCACTAGGTAAAGTGCTGCATAAATTGTCAGTGCTATATAAATATAAATATATAAAGGTTCACACTGGATTATGCAGAGATCTGGAAGAAATACACAATGGGTCCATTTATAAACAATTCACAAGGCACTTCGCCCGGAGAATATCTGTGAACGTTCCTTTTGTGCAAATAATGGCAAAAACAAACATTCCTAATATATTTTCTTTTCAGATTGAATGTATTGTGATGTAATACTGCATAATGGCTACTAGATGGAGCTGATGAGCATAGGAAATAAATACAAAATGAACATTCACAGTTATTTACAGGGTGAAGGGCCCTATTTATAAATAGACCCCTAAGATTCCAGTAAGAATACACATGCCTTTTGCATTTAGACAATATTTGCTTAGCTCAGCTTTAAAAGTTTATTTTCTTCAACAAGCACCCCGTAGGTTTAACAGTCACTCCAGGGATAACAATGTATTGATCTGAGGCTATTTAGGTTCCAAAAACATCTATTGCTAAGGTAGTAACTTTAGACAAGTGAGAGAGAAAGGCAGCTGGAATGGAAAAGGCAGTGTACTGTAAAAAGATTACGGGGCCTATTCATCAAAGTCCCGAGAGCATGATAGTAAATTTGCATGTTGATGATCATGCTGTCCACGGGATGATGGTGTTCAAGAAGGTGCGCTGTGAATAATTGCCTTCGCTGAGCTGTGCAGATGCTTATTCTGAGGGCTGGATAAAAGCATCTTAACGGCAGATAGCAGAGGAGTGACACTGCTCAGCTCGCAGCTGTCTCCCTTTCACATTTAAATCCCTCCGTCCCTCCATTTTGTTAGGTCTGCTGTACAATGCTGTGCAGATAAACACACAATGTAGGCAGGGCCGTCTTTAATATTAATTGGGCCCTGGGCAAGATTTTGCTATGTGCCCCCACAACCTTCCTGGCTCCACCATCCCGACCCCTTACTTCCCGACCCAGACTTCCGTATCCGCCTACATCTTATATATATTTCTATAGTTCAGTGCAATAAGGCAACGGACTCAGGAGTACTCTGAAAGGCAATAGTAGTAGTGATAGTAGTGATGGTGGTCAGCTGCAAAGAAGCCTGACACACGGGTCTATTCTCTGAGGGCAGCAAAATAATGGAAACCCTCATTACAACAAGCACTGATGTTGCTCTCTATGCCCTGCACAGTCATGTTGCACACCGCCCCCATCCACAGCCAGCATCCCCCAAGCTGGGCTCCCCTTCCCATCCCCAGCTTAATCCTTTGCCAGTCGGGCGCTCCGCTTTTTGGAGCTGCAGACAATGTGTAGGGGATGAGCCCAGCTCTGGCTGCTCCCAGCAGTTACTGATCGGCAGAGGCTCCTTCCTCGTCAGGCTGCTCGGCTCAGCTCTCTACCATTTCCCTAGCCATATGTCTCAGGCCTGTGTACCCTACAGATCCAGCAGCCACCACCTGTCAATCACCCCCACCCCGGGCAGCTATCTATACTAGCGCCAGCCCTGGCTGTCAACATGCCAGCAGTCCCCCCGGCCAATGCCACCCTTGCCACCAGCAATGCCGCTGTTCTCCTGCCTGCTGCTGCGGGTGAAAGGGACTGCCGTTGTGGGCCCCTGTAAATGATGGGGCCTGGGGTAGTTGCCTCTTTTGCCCTGTGATAAAGAAAGCCCTGAATGTACTGTAGGTACCAAGTGTTATCTTACTCTTAAAGCAACTATTGCAGTTAATACCTACCTGCTGCCTGCACCGGCAAACCCTGCAAGAGTTCAGCATTTGGTACACCTCCAGTAGTTTTGGATGCCAGTATCCCCTGTGGGTTTTTTCACCACTGTATGAAGCAGTGGTCACCATAGGAGAGCCAAGCCAAAGGAGAAGGTGTAGAATTGCCAATGTGATGTGATCCTTAAAGCTGAACTTCAGCATTCCCTCTAGTCTTGCACAGTTGTACCGGTTCCTCTCCTTTACTATAATGTCTTACTTTGACTCCACTGCTTCTCACAATGTGTATTAGAAGCTGCAGCAAGCCAGATAGAGCCCACCTCTAGCATCATCTAGCCCAGGGCTAGGCAATCTCTGCCCTTCAGCTGTTAAGGAACAACAAGTCTCATGAGGCATTGGAAGACTCTGACAGCGACAGGCATGACTCCCAGATGTGGAGGCATGATGGGTTCTCTGGAGTTTCAGCACAGTTGGAGTGCCACGGTTGCCTACTGCTGATCTAGCAGTTTCCTCTCCACTCAAGAGTATCTATGGTCAAAAACTAAAAATGAGGTCTAGTTAACGGTAAACTGTGGACCTTGGAATGGAGGCTTTATCCCACCCAAAGCTTTACAAAGCTTCCAGACCCAGATCAGTACTCATTCAAATCTGAGGAAACAACAAAGTTTGCTACTTCCATAGAAGACATGAACCCTGGAGCCCCACAACAAGTGTAGGGGAGAAATCTAGGTGACACATACACACCGTGCACAACCCTGCCTGCCAATGCCTCTTTGTATGAAGTGCTGCAAGCCTTGTCACAAAATCAGTTTCTTCTGGTCAGATAATATAAAAGAACATTTGTGATTGGCTGCTAGGTTGTCTAAGTGACTTGATGTCTCCATTAGCAAACAGTTGACAGATCCAGTTGCTATATAGGTAAGGGAAAACATAAAGGTAAACCTGATTGGTAATGTACAAGGTCACTATGTTTCTCTTGGTCAGGTTTCAACCTGTTCGTTATACGGATATAATACAACTAAGATCTTGCTTATGGTAGGTCAACTTTCTCATTCAATACCACTTTCAAGAGTGGCCTACCTGCTTGTGTGCTTTTAACATGTTTGTTATTATTTAAAATACCGCGGTGTCAGGTTGACGATTGCCATTTGTTCTCTTTTTCCACCAGACTGAGCCCCTATGAGTGGTACAACCCACACCCATGCCTTCGTGAGCGTCACCACATCCTGGAGAACCAATACACGCTGGGGAACAGCCTGTGGTTCCCTGTAGGAGGCTTTATGCAGCAGGGGTCAGAGGTCATGCCAAGGGCACTGTCGACAAGATGCGTCAGTGGTGTCTGGTAAGTTCTTGGAGATGTAAGGAGACACATCGACTTGGTGTATCGGCAGGATTTAAAGTGTATGTATAGGCAAAACTTTTCTAATAGCTTTGAATAAAGTATGAGATGGTTAAAAACCCTGCATGTTTATTTCTTGCTGTATGTGTCCTCTTCTGGAGATTTACTTTCTTTGCTTTCCTGGAGATGCGACAGGAAGTGAGAGGAAATCTTTCCAAAGCGAGGGGAAGTCTCCTGTTAGACAGTTCTCCTCATCTCCTGATCTGGGGGCAACTGTCAAATGTTGGAATTTACATCACTTTTCATATCAGTCAAATTCAGGACACAAAGACACTAAATTTCCCCTGGGGTGGTCAAAAAATACACTTACATTTTATTCCAGAAAAAAAAGATGATTTTACCTGCTTCTTTTGAGCTATAGACATTAAAAAGGGCCATATTTATTGGATTTGGAAGGGGCCATATGCCTATATACAGATGGAAGTGCTGGATTTAAAAATAGTACATGTCCCCACATCCTTCAGTTCTCTTGGGCTCTCCAGGTCAGGCAAGATTCAGACTGAAAGATAAAACTGTATGATGATGAATTTATTAATCTAATTAGATATTACAGCCCCGGAAGAGCCACCAGTGGTCGGATGGAGGTTAATGAGCTTACAGGATAGCCATCGAGGAATGCAGGGTATAACTGTCCATGGTGCCCTATTCATACTATTAATAGTAAATTTTTACAATGGGGATTTTCACACGGTGATGGTCTGAAGCAAGCACAAGGCAGGGCATCTGAGGCATTTGCCTGGGACTCTACATATTTTGTGACTCCTCAGCCTGCTGCAAGAAGGAGAGAAAGCTATTTTACACATGCTAACAAATATCAGATTATTTAATGTCAGGGCCCCCATGTCTCTTTTTTCCTTTCTAAAAGATCCATTTAATCCTATGATGGGCTAATTAAAGGGTATTCTCATCACAAACAGACACATAGCTTAAACTGAAGTTTGTTTCAATGTTTGTACTAGGCCTCATTTTCTCCAATACCATCCCTTCTACAGGATGGTGTAGGCCCTTAGATGGGATGGCGTAGGTGGTGATACTGGTATATATGGCATCAATTGACTTATTCAATGACTTTTCTTTAGGTGGGCCTTCACACTTATCATCATCTCCTCCTACACTGCCAACCTTGCTGCCTTCTTGACCGTACAAAGAATGGAGGTCCCAATTGAGTCAGCTGATGATCTTGCTGATCAAACCAATATAGAGTATGGAACAATTCATGGCGGCTCCACCATGACCTTCTTCCAGGTTTGTACATCTGTATTCTTATATACAAGTAAAACAAGACAATATGTGACCGATGTTGGACCTTCCAAGTATATTGAATTAGAACTCGACATGTATTTTTGCCTTGGGACAGTACTGGTTGGGTTCTTGATTGCACTTTTGGTTGACCCATCATAAATTCTGCTTCTTAACACTATGGGGTCTATTCACAAAGGAGCCGAAAGATCCAGCCGTAGCTTCGGCTGATCCTTCGGCTCTCTTCGACCGCCGGAGCCCTTCGGTTCAGTCGAACAGAAGGGCTGCTGTACGGGCTATTCACTATAGCCTGTACAGCTGCCGGAGGCGGCCGAGTGGCTCAGCTGAGCCGAAGGCATATGCTTCGGCTCGACTGAGCCGAAGTGGCAGCTGAAGCAGGGCGAACGGCCGGCCGAAGGCCAGCCACACGCCTCGCAAATGACAGCTGGGCGGAGCTGATTTCAGCCGAAGTACGGCTGAAATCGGCCATACTGAGCCGCAGTGAATAGCGGAACAGCATTCGGCTCACTTCACTACGGCTCATTTATTCACTCGGCTGCCTTCGGCAGCTTAGTGCATAACCCTTTATATATTTTAATGGGTCATTTGTGACCTCTATGTTTTCAGTGTGAGGCTATATATGTTTTTGACTGTTGTGTTCCCACAGAACTCCCGATATCAAACCTACCAACGCATGTGGAACTACATGAACTCCAAGCAGCCCAGTGTGTTTGTGAAGAGCACGGAGGAGGGAATAGCCCGTGTCCTGAACTCTCGTTATGCTTTTCTACTGGAGTCCACCATGAACGAGTACCACCGTAGGCTCAACTGCAATCTTACCCAGATTGGAGGACTACTCGATACGAAGGGCTATGGCATCGGCATGCCACTAGGTAAGGCAAGGTTCTGTCCATTTACTTCAATATATTAATTAGCAACCTCAGTGAACAGCTTAATTTGCCTCTGGTGTGACTGCATGATGAATTAGTTCACTGTTGAATCCTAATAGGTAAATGTGTACGGTACATTGACCCACAGCAACCAATCATAAGCCAATATTTGATTTCTGACTGCTCCAAGTTAAGAACCTGATTGGTGGCTTTGGATTACTGCACATCATTGCTCATCACACTGCCTTATTAAAGGTACACCGATGAAACAGGAGTTTCAGGATACAAACATGAAAACTTCAGATGTAAATTGCCTCAGGGGATAAAGCCTACCCACTGAGTGTCTCCAATTCTCATCTTGGCAGTTGTCTCATTTAGTACCCTCATCTTCTGAATGCCCCAGAACCTGTGTAAAATGAAGGCCAGTTTGTTCCCTGGTACTAGGATCATCCTAGGTACTAGGAAACCCTGGTACTAGGAATTCTTTATTATTAGACCTCTAATGTCACCCTTTTACTCCATTGAAGCTGAGCAAGCACAGTTCATGCTTGATTCGTTTTTTCGCAGGACTCCGTAGCCAGGAAATGACAGCTCTGAACCTGGAAGTGACAAATTAATAGTTGCTTCCGGGTTCATTCACAGCAGAGGAGATCAGTGAACACCTGACATCTGCCGCGGCTGTCCTGGGCCCGCGGGAGTTGCAATGGAGTCCTTGATACATGGTGGGGAAGGGGTCGAATGGAGGAGTGCACCTTCTAAAACCCATGGAAGCTATTTTCTAACACAAAGCTGACAGTCCGCTTGTGTGGGCTAAAGCAGCTGGGAGTCCATAGTATGGGCACAGGTGTACTTTAATACTTTTGAGTGAAAGTATAATTTAAAGGAAACCTTTTTTTTTCCATTTTGCATATTTATGTGTAGTTGTTTGTCGAATAATGGTCCTTTTATTTTAAAATAATCCGCAGCTCTTACTGATATTGCTAATATCCTCACATCAAGGCAGCCAGACTAAAGCTCTAATTACTTTACGGTTCAATAATTTCTGGTTGTAATGTGTTTTGAATTCATCTTTGTTATTTTTTGCTGTGAGCGGTTTCTCTATTTTTTTTTTTCATTGTAATATTCCCGCAAATGAAGCATGACTTGAGAACATCTCGCAGTTGCCTTGGTGTTGCAGTTCCCAGTGATTTAAAACCAGGGGTGGCATCAGGTGTGGTCGTGATTGGGCCCCTGCTGTCGGCTGCAGGATAGTGTGGGCTGTGGGGAGTCTTTGCAATTACCTTCAGCAATATATACACTAATTTTAGTGTGAACGTGAACCCTAAATCTATTTTTAGTATCCTTGGCATTATGAAACACTGTGCACAGAGTTGTGTGCCTGCCGTGTGCTTCTTTAGTTGGCCATTGGGTTGCCTATCAAGTCCCTACAGTGGGCGGCATACTGGTTAGTACTTCTGGCTTGCAGCACCGGGGGTCCCGGGTTCGAATCCTGGCCAGGTCACTATCTGCAAGGAGAGTGCATGTTCTCCCTGTGCGTGCGTGAGTTTCCTCCCACACTCCAAAGACATGCTGGTGGGTAATTTGGCCCACCTATGTATGCATGTGAAATAGGGACATTAGACTGTAAGCTCCTGGAGGGACTGATGTGAATGTGCACTTTGTAAAACTGTGTAAATTGTTGGTACTATATAAATACCAATAGTAAATAAGTACAGGCCAATGGTCAACTGAAGGAGCAAGGCTTCTAAGTGGCTAAACATTCTGAAAAATAGATTGAGTATCAGCTTGTCTGTGCATTGAGGGACCATTATACATTATACCTCTGCATTTAATTGAAACGGCATTTCGGGGCAACTATTTAAGGGGCAATAAACTACACCACTGGCTCCTGCCAGCTGGCAAATGCAGTTGTTTAACGTGACAACCAAACAGATGCTATCAGTATTCTCTACCTGGTGTGTCTCCATAGCAGTGCCTGCAGGTTAGATTGTGGGAGTCAGGAGTTGGAGAAACATAATTTATACGTGGAAGAGGGATGATGCATGAACAGTGAAGAAGCAATGTCTTCCATCAGTTTTCTCCTTGCATCATGTCCTAAAAGTGTCATTCAATATAACTATGTTATAAAAACATTTAAAGGTAAAGTTCACCTTTTGCAAACATTAAAGAAAGGCTTGATTAATAATATTTTAAAAAAAAGCTTTTCTTTAATTTTTGCTTTCAAGCCTGGAAAGCATTGCATCTGCGATCACTCGATCAGGGCTGCAGAGCTGAGGCTTCTGCACATTCTCTCTCAGACAGAGCTCGTACGGAGGGCCAGAGTTTCAGTAAGGAGAGATGGGGAAGGATGGCTGGACTTCAAACTGAATTAAATCACCTCATATGGCGTCCAGCCGTCCTCTCTCTGGTTAGATGCGGTAGAGCTGTTCTTATTCTCATCCAGCCGTCCTCTCTCTGGTTAGATGCGGTAGAGCTGTCCTTATTCTCGTCCAGCTGTCCTTCCCCCATCTCTCCTAACTGTTACTCCGTATATCAGTACGGAGCTCTGTGAGAATGTACAGAAGCCTGAGCTCTGCAGCCCTGATCAAGTGATCACCGCAATGCTTTCCAGGCTTGAATGCAAAAATGAAAGAAATGCATTTTGTTTATATTATCAAATATTAATTTCTTTATTTTTGCAAAAGGTGAGCTTAGCCTTTAAGGGAATCTATAATGCATATTGGTCATTTTCTGCATTTATTCTAACAATATAAGGTCATCATTTTGTTAAAATCTCTGTTCTATAAACACACATTTAATAGTGCACACTCACCAGAAAGCCCAGCACTAACTGCAAACTCGTTGGTTGCCTTTGTCTAATTGACTAATCCAGATACATTCCATCTTTGCATGGCAGGTCATTGAACTGCATGAGCGTAATTTGAGCTCCTGCTGTTTCGTTCGATTCACACCATAGGCTATTTAGGCAATCCACCGCAGTAAATCAGCCATCAGAAGAGCTGGTGCTTTGCGTCTGGCTGCCAGTGTTAAATCTAAAATATTCATATGCAATATTTCATGTTTACCTGACTAAAGATAAATTTAAATTAAAAAAAAAAAATTTTTAAAATTTTTTACTCCTGAATATAATAAATAAGTAAAGGCATACCGAAACACTATAAATTCTATTTATGGATTTATATGTGTTGGACTCCAATGTTAGGCAGTATATCTTCTATACCTGACTAAAAAGAAATAAAAAATAGCCCTGAATATAATAAATCAGAAGATATAGAAACATAACACTATAAATTCCATCTAAGAATTTACTGCATATATGCTGAACTCAAATAGATTTGATAGTGTGGCACTGGTTATATTACTATTTATAGCTGAATATATTAGGTATGCACCGATACTGGTATTTCGCTATCGAGTGTGAGTACCGATATATTTTTTTTTGGAACTCGCCGATACCGAATACCGAGAACCAGAAGTCCCATTCAGGAAGCCAGGCGGCGTGTAATGACTCGCCACCCGGCTTCCCGATTAGCAGGGAAGCCGTCCATATGCTTCTCGTCACTAGGTGACGAGAAAGCATGGAGCTGGCTTTCTGGTCAATCAGGAAGCTGGGCGCTGTGTAATGATGCGGCACCTGGCTTCCTGATTGGCCGGGAAGCCGGTTCCATGCTCTCTTGTCATGAGGTGATGAATCACAAGTGATGAGAGAGCATGGAGCCGGCTTCCCGGCCAATCAGGAAGCCGGGCAGCGGGTAATGACGCGCTGCCTGGCTTCCTGATTGGTCGGAAGCTGGCCAATCAGGAAGCCAGGTGCCGTGTTGAAATGAGAATTTTTTTCCACTTGACTTTATTGCTAACAAGCCTAACAAGTCCCTATGTGATAGTGTTTGGAGGTGACAGGTTCTCTTTATGGAGACATCACGGGTCTCCCCTGGCCACCAATACAAGGGATTGCGCACAGTATTGTGCCCGATCCTCTGTGTAACAGGCACTTCAGCCAGCTTTGTGACAACTGTGAGCGGGAACTCACTTATCCTCACTCACTTATCACAGAGCAGATCAGGGAATGGACATTACCTGGTCTGCTCCCGCTCTCCATCCTGAAAGTATTTGCCATGGACCCAGATCCCCCAGAGGACTATGGGACCCCAAAAACCACGGCAGCAGCAGCATCCATGACCTTGGTATAACCACTTCAAGACCAGGATGTACAGGTACGTCCTAAGGTCCTGACGTGGTTACGTTTGTTTTTGGTGGTTGCAATAGGCTTCAAATGGCTCCTGGTGGTCTGTAAACAAAATAGAAATTAAAAGGGAAGGGAATAACAGTGCCAATGCTTCACCCCCTACCAAGCTTCCTTATTGGTCAATGAGGCTGTCCAGCACAATACCATGAAGGCTCTAGGGGTTGGAGGGGATGGAGCCAAGCACAACATTTACAGAGAAGGTCAAGATTTGCATATAACTTCAATTGCTTATATATTGGGACTTACTGAATGTTTTGACACATGGGGGTTGATTTACTAAAGGCAAATAGCCTGTTCACTTTGCATGGCTTTTAGATTGTAAGCCCTCAGGGGCAGGACCCTCCTTACCATCTTGTATTGTGATTGTAATGTCTTCCTTATATTGTAAAGCGCTGCGCAAACTGTTGCCGCTATATAAATCCTGTACAATAATAATAATGGGAATTTGCACTTTGCAGGTGAAGTTTCCCCTTAGTTTAATGAATGAGGTGAAGCTCTGCTGACTTCCATAACCCAATCATGTGCAAGCAAAAAACTGAAAATGTAATCATACTTACCGTAATTTTGTTTTCCTGGTTATACTCAATGGCAGCGCTGACAAACGGGTTTTAGATCCAATTACCACTAGCCGACAGGAACCAAAAGGGTTAAACAAGGCCTAACCCTCTCTATAAATGCCCCTCCTCCTGCTGACTTCCCCAGTCTAGTAACAAGATAAATAACTCCATAGGGTGGGAGCCCAGCTCTGCCATGGAGT